GACCGTTACGACGGTTTTACGACTAATTTTCCAAAAACCGTCGTAAAACCGTCGTAACGTCACAACATTTATAACCTCGTACCTCGGATCTGGAGCCAATCCGGTGCAAACGTTACGACGGTTTAACGACGGTTTTAGGAAAATTAGTCGTAACGTTACGATAATATTACGATGGTTTTATGATGTTTATTTAAAAAGTTATCAAACCCTAAATCTTTCAAAAGGCTTTTTACATAAAGAACAACGCAAAGGTTATTGTATCCTAACATATAACAAAAGGTTTATAACTTTGCATGTATGACGGATTTAGTACATGAGATAGTAAATATTTAAATTCCGTAATCTAATATATAACCTTTTACTTAACATTTACGAAAGAACTTGTTAATATGTATGTTTTTTTCAAATTTTTGATTTTGATCAGATTGATAGCTTTTCATATAAAATAGGATAACCAATCAAAAACATTTGTGAAATACCTTACTACCAATAAGATATAAAAGAATCAAAATCTGGGATTTTAGTATTATGACGATTTTACGGCTAAATAGTTAACCACTGGGCATAGTGTTGATCTTTACGATCATTAATTTCAGTTTCAGAAACCCCAGATATGCATTCTTTAACCTCATTAACGAATGTGCTGAGATAACAACAAATAGTTTATTAATACTGACATATATATATAAATATATTATTAATTAAAAAAATACCTTTCGTACGATGACAACTCTTCACAATTTAGCAGGATATACGTATGTGCACTGTGATAATCTTTTTCATTCGACCACCAAACTTCTTTTAGTTTTCCACTAAGACGTCCGATCAGCGAGAATATGTCAGGTACACCCTCAACGGCATATGTTTGGCCAACTCCTCCATCATCATATCGACGAGTAGCTCTTTTGCGTGTTCGTACTTTCGGTGCAAAATAGTACGAAGTGAAGTGCGAAGTCTCTTGCGTCAAGCTTCCCACCACAATTGAGCCTTCCATTTTAGCTAGGTTTTTGGCTTTACCCTTAAGATGCTTCATGAAACGCTCGAACGGATACATCCACATGTACTGAACGGGTCCACCGAGCTCTACTTCGTGAGGAAGATGAACAGGAAGATGTTCCATAACATCAAAAAATGATGGTGGGAAAATCTTTTCCAAATTGCATAACAAGATTGGAATATTCAATGCCAGTTTTGATATTACATCAACTGACAATATTAGTGTACTAAGATCCCGAAAAAAAGCACCAATGCCTCCAACAGCTTCATGGACATTTTTGGGCAAGAGTTCAGCAAATGCAAATGGAAATAATCGTTGCATAAACACATGGCAGTCATGGCTTTTCATCCCGGCAAACTTTACCCCCTTCTCAACAGATTTAGAAAGATTAGAAACATACCCATCAGGAAATTTAACGTCAAAAGAAACCCATCTGAACAATGCTGACTTTTGATCTGTACTCAACCGAAATACAGGAACTGGTGCTTTCCCGTTTCTCAGTATATGCAACTCACTTCTGTTGCATAAATCAGGCAAGTCCAATCTTGACTTACCATTGTCTTTTGTTCTTCCCGCTACGTTCATAACTGTATGCATGATGTTATCAAAAAAGTTTTTTTCAATGTGCATGACATCAAGATTGTGTCTGAGCAGATGATCTGTCCAATAGGGTAGTTGCTAAAAGATACTTTTCTTGTGCCAATTATGATGAACTCCATAACCTTCAGGCATATTTGCAGGAGTGTGCCAGTTTCCCCCACGAGTTACTGTTTCCTCTGCCCTCCATTAATGATCGATTTGCGCATGTATATCAGCTCCTGTTAAATTAACGGGTGGAGGGACATGTACACTTTTGTTCTTCATAAATAACCTCTTGTTCCTCCGATATGGATGGTTATCCGGTAAAAACCTCCGGTGACAATCAAACCAACA